AATRKGAGAAGTYCCAGACGGAGCAGAGAAGGGRAACTAGAATTCAGCAGAGCTGCGTAGGAAGGCAAGGGCCAGGCTAGCCTTCTTTAGCAGCGTTATAACAATCTCTGTTAAAATGGCTACAAAAGGTGACATAATGTAACATCTTTTTTTTAAGTCGACGTGCAGTGTACACCTGGGAGTTACTCCTTTTTTTGGTTTTGTGCAGCCCACCTAGACCCCCTCCTGCTTTTTCTCGGCCAGTTCATTCTTGTTTGATCATAATTGTTGCTTTGCCTCTGACACAGACTTCGTAGATGCCAGTGATCGAGCTGCTTTGTGCTTGTTCTTTAGTAAGCCGTGTCAAGGTTTAACTACAAAGTGAGATGTGTGTGAGATCATTGGCGGCCTCGTTTGCCCCGGTTCTTCATGAACTAATGGGTGTTTTCTCTTCAAGAAAGTGAGTGTAGATTGTTAAAAATAAACGTCGATGTCACTCAAAACGCACGTTTTTTTTTTTGTGTGTTTGTGTGAAAAAAAGTCAGATGAAGGCCACATTTAAATCCTGTCCCGTTACCGAACCTGTGCCTCAGTCGTATGGGGCTGGAAGGTTTTCCAGTGTCGGGCTTTGTGTGCAGCTCCGTGCTCTTCTCTTCACAGCTGTCAGGACCACAAGTGTCCATGTGTGTGGTTCCCAATCCTGGTTGGTTCCCAATCCTGGTTTTATGGTTTTTTTAGCCTCTGGAAGCCATTGATTCTTTGCCATTTATTTGTAAATAATAAATCAGATAACCTGTATTAAAGCAGTGATTCTCAACCCTAATCCTCAAGGACTCCTTTCCTGCATGTTTAGATGTTTCCCTGATTTGACACACCTGGTTTGAATGACTGAGTGATTAACAATCTTCTGAAGACCTGCTGAAAAGCAGGGAAACAAGTAAAACATGCTGGATAGGGGTACTTGAGGACCACGCCTGTCTGTCGGTAACATACTTTGTGCATTTTGAAGGGGTCCGTTTCTGACGTTTGACATAAATAGATTAGCTTACATTTCACTCTTTTTTCCCCCTCCACCTGTTCTTGCTACCTGCCCATTCGCACTGCAGGCTCTGGACTGTGTGAAGATTTGCGTCGATCCGTCGTCTTTTCTGTCACGGATCTGGACCTGTGGTCACACGAGGAGCCGCGGATGTTGCCCGTGTTCTGTCCTGCAGCAGCTCGTCTCTTACCTCATGCATGTGGTTGCGTAATCGTTTAATAGAAGGATTGTTGGAAAGCCAAACTTGGGGTTAAGTTCGGGATGAATCAGACTTGCGCAATTCGACATGATCTCGTTAAATTTTTTTAAGGCGGTCAAAGTGCTCAACGCTGATAGTTAGAGGTAGCTTGTTGTGTTTTCTTAATATTTAACATGGATGTAAAGAGCAGAATGTGGATTGCCCTGAGTAATGTTTAACAACATTACGACACGTAGAACTGAACTGTCCAGTCTAACGTCTCTGCAGTTATTTTGGTTTTGGTTGTGCTATCTCTGAGTCAAGAGGTCAGCGCTTTGTTGRTGTTGTTCACTCATTTCATCATTATTGTCTTTAACATTACCTTTTAGAAGACATGAACCTGATGCAAACTTGTATCTGTTCTCTGTTTTTTTGTTGCAGCGTCTTTACCACGTTGCTTCAGGACATGAAAAATTGTGCAAAAAATAAACGACGACAAAGTATGAAAGTAATTCGCACTAAATGAACGGTCCATATTTTCTCCTCGCTTTACTCAAAATGCATCACAGCACTTCTGGTAACTTTAAGATGACCAGCAGATGACCTCGAGGACATACTCGTCGAAAACAGCGAAGAACTGAAAAGCCGCAACAAAACTGGCTGTTTGTACTATTCTTAGGAATAACCTGAATAAATCAGGCTGTTACATATACTGTTGCATTAAATGAGAGTAATTTGTCAAGAAGTATCTGTTTTATAAGCTTGAATTATTCAGTGAAGATAAGAGTGAAGTGTCCACACGCAGGTTTTTTTTTTTTCCTTTTAGACCAGTCGAGCAAAACTGTAGTGAGACCGGAGGCCCCTCCCTTTTTTTTAATTTACAAAAAGATAATGAGTGGAAGATTTTCTTTTTAAYGGTCATGCTGCTTATCAGGAGCATTTAATCACAGAACAGGAAATTTGTACCAGTGGAAACCTGATGTTAAAAAATGGTCAGACATTTTTTAACTGATGATTCTGCAGCATTWAGTAAAAATAAATAAATTAATAAAATAAACACTACCAAATCCAATTTTTTCTATCATACAGCAACATCTGGAAAGCATCTGATTGTCATCACTTTCAGCTGGAAATGATCCTGAACATACTTCACATAAAAGCACAACCTTAACAAAAACACAACACAGCATTATCAGTCTGACTGGTTTCCTCTGAGCCCAGGCACCAAAATTATCTTGAAAAATGTAGGGTCAGTTTAAACAAAGCCAGAGAGAAAAAAAGAAAAAGAGAGCGAGACGGCTGATATAATCTGAAACATTCTTCAGATAATCTGCAGAACCACTCCTGATTGTTGTAAGATTATCTCACCTGGAAATCGGGCTTTAAAGTGTTCAGGCTGTGTTCAAATGAAAAAGAGGTTAATTGTCTTATTTGCTCTGATGTTTTATCAAATTGGAAAAAAAAACATTGTGGAATTTGCCTCCTTTAGAAATAAAAATAAACCTTTTTTTAAATAGAAACAAATCTGGGCCTGAGCTTGCAGTATTGTCATTTAGGTGAACAGATTTATATTATCAGTTTGAACCAGGATTAAATAACAGTGTAAACAAACCTGTTTCAATATTGCCTTGGAAAAGAAATCTCCCTTCCTCACTGTTGGTGTTAGAAATCCATCACAGACTGAAAGAATGTRTTTGGTATCATATTTAGGAGCCCGGCTATGCAGCTTTGTAAATATTAGGTCTGTATTTCTCCTGTTTGGCAGCAAGAAGGTATAAAACCTTTTGTTGCAGGTTTCATGATGTAATCCAGCAGCACAGTAGCTTCCAGAACAATGTTTCTACAGGTTCAGTAATTGCATTKATTTAAAGCCTAATTTCACAGCTAGGTGTGTGAGTTTAGCGTTACTGCAGATGTTGGTTCAGCGTGCGTGTTCTCAACTCTGTCTCTGCCACAGGTTTATAGCCGGGGCCTGTGCTCGAAGTCTCCACATCCAGGCAGGGGTTGGGAGGAGAGCCCAGCCCAATGCAGTGTTGGAGAAGGTGTTTACTTCAATCACAAAGGTTGGAAGGCTCGAATAAAAAAAACAAAAAAAAAAACTTTTATCATTTGGTGTAAATCAATAGTTTATGAATTGATGTGCCATAATCAAGCTTTCAGATTCTAATTTTGCTGTGGCATTATTTTCATAGTTAATTTGTTCACGGTTTTTTTTTTTTTTCCTGTTTTGCACCAGAATCCCGACTCTCGGCATCTAGATGGCCTGACCAAGCAGTTGGACTGGGACGTGCGGAAAGTCCAGCGTTGGTTCAGACACCGCAGGAACCAAGATAAACCCAGCACACACACAAAGTTCTGCGAGAGCATGTAGGTTCATTCCCTGCTGTGATCACTACTAACCTCTGCAGGAGTTTTTTAAATTGACTGTTAGCATCATTCTTTCTCTCTCTCTCTCTCTTTTCCTGAAGGTGGAGATTTACTTTTTATTCTGGCATATTTATTTATGGTTTTCAGTTTCTCTGGCAGGTGAGCACACCAACTGAATATCGCTACTATTTCATCCTAGCATAAACCAATATGATGATAATTATTTCCCGCTTCAATTTGTTTTCAGTCCCCTTGGATGTGGGATACAAAACACTGTTGGTACGGTTACCCCTATCAGGTACGAAAACAGCTCTGATCTGCTTTAATCTCATACGTATTGCACACGAGCTGCAACTCCACCCTCAAAACAATCTTACACCAACCTTTTCAGAACGTAGTCGTTTGTTACTCGCAACAAAGAGCGAGATCACAAGCTGCTGAAKTTGCGATCTGCTCACTTATGTTTGGTTGTGTGYATGATAGAGAAGTGTATTCATTTTATATAACGTTGTGTCTCTCAGGGCTGTGTGAACAAATATGACTTAATACAGTTTATTTACCATTCCAGACTAAATTGGGCTTTAAACATGTGTATCAAATAAACATGTTAGCCRTGTGCTGATGTCACACTTGAATAAACGTCAACGTGACCGTATTTGTTTACTTGCAACTCCTTAGGTTCATACGGATTTGTGACAAAAGCCCAGTTAGACAAGAAAMTGCAGACGTATTTCTGTTTATTCCTCTATAAAACCTTGAGTTTGTGTCACCTGTTCTTAGGAAAGTATAGCTCAGATGTTTAGCTGGAAAAAATGACACTGAAAGCATAAATCTGAGTTTGAATCATTAAAGAAACGCAATGCATTTTTATACTAAAATATTTGCAGCAGCATCATCGAACACCCTCATTACATAATGTTTGTCACGTAGACGGGGGCTGCATCAGGCAGTTGAGTCATTTTAACATCATCGCGCTTGCGGTGGTTTAAGGCGTTTGTTTGAGCAGAAGTGGTCCCGTCTTTCACTTTTCTCWCTTGTGTACTCAGCATGGTTGGTTTTACTATAAAGACCTAAGAATGAAGGAAGTTGTTGTTTGATTCGACCCCCTGAACTTGTCTCTGCTCTCTGTCTCGTCAGGTCATGACTCCTGGTCTTTATCACTACTACGTGACCGAACTGGCCTTCTACTGGTCTCTTATGTTTTCCCAGTTCATCGACATAAAAAGGAAGGTGAGCGTGACACCGGCTCAGTGTTGTGTTACATTAAACCGCTGCAGATCCTCGGCTGCGGCTACACCCTGTTAAACATTAGTCAATACGTCTATTGTTCCTCATTTGGCAAGTGGCAGAGAGTGGGGGAAAGGGAGCATGTGATGCAAAGTTTTTCAATGTACACAAATCAGGATGCATTAGAAATCAGAATGACTCCTGCTTTTGATTCAGAGGGGAGGTCACATGTTTTTTTGGAAGAGGCGGGCTGCAGCTGATGCAGCTCGGTCTGCGAGGCAGTGAATGCTCTGTGTTTTCAGCGTGACAGCACTCATCGTCATGTGATGAAGCAGGCCTAAATCAGTTAGAATTACAGAAATTCCTCAGAATTTCAGTCCTGGAGTTAGAAACAGCCACACAGACGTTTGATCATTTACAGCCCGATGTCTGGAATCTGATGCTTGATTTTTATTATTTTATACATTTAATGTATTTTATTTATTAAAGGATGTTTATCATTTGCCCTGTTTTTTCTTATCTAGTATTTAACTTCAAGGTATCATGTTCCACATAATTTGATATTCAAAACAACAAAAAAAAATCAAATAAGTTAAAGGCCATGGTCAGATGTCTTGTCTTTTGGCCACAGTCCAAAGCCACTGCTGCACATTTTTTACGGGAATTCAGCTTCGTTAATATTTATCTAAATCTTCTGTTGCTGTCCAGGTCTTCCTGCATTGTTCTAAGTCAGATTTAAGCTTTTGTAGTTGAATCTTTGGTTTAGARTTTGATCAGGCTGTTCAACAAAGAAATGACCAAATATTTTGTCCAGTCTTCTGATGCAGAATTCTGAGTTGATTTAATGGCTGGTAGTTGCTCCGTCTCTGAGCCAATCAAGCAGCCCACACCATTACTGCCTCCACCATGCTTTAAATTTCGGTGCGAGTTTTGTCCTCTAAGGCTAAGGGTGTATTCACACCAGCCCTAGTCTGCTGTTTGAATGCATGTGTGAATGCATGTGTGAATGCATGTGTGAATGCAAGTAGACCGGGGACCACTSCAGAAGCAGGAAGCAGGCTGTAACGCAGAGCATTCTGAGTAATAACAGTAATAAAGTCACTCGTATCTTACTTGATGTCTGTATAAGKTGAACATCACAGCTGGGAGGATGGATGCACTCCTTCTCGGTGAAAGCCGCCTCATATGGAGCCATCTCAGACGCATTTTGTAGAAAAACAATATTGTCCTCGGTTCCACCTCATCTTCCACTCATTCTGAGCTTGTTGTTGAAGACTATATGTTTGGCACATTTGTCCAAAAAAACCAGCAAAATAAAATAAATCCTACAACCACTAAAATCTGATCACTTCATGTTTGTTTACATTTTGTGAAGAAGGAAGTTGCGCTCAGTGTCTTCTTCTTAGGTTTTTCACAGGGTTTAGTTTGTTTGACACAGAGCAGTGTGAATGTGAACCAGACCATCTGAAAATGTAAACAAATCTTGCAATTTTGGTCCCCAATCGAACCGAGTCTACYGGACTATCAGGTGTGAAYACRACCTAAAATGAGTTTTGTATTTTATTTATTTGCCCAGAACATTTTCCCGCCTCGTGCTGTCTCATGAAACGGGTTGTTTTTGTCTTAAAGCTTTTGTGTTTTGGATTTAACAGACTGGAAGGCTTTAAAATGTTGACAAATCTGTAAAGAGATCTATAAAGGAGAAGTTTTTAGTGTTTATATGCAGCACTTAAATCATCTCTCTTCTTGTTTTTTTT